TAATATCCATGATTAACATCATCCACAATAAAAATGATTAATCAATCTCTTATAATTACAAAAAAATGAACAAAATGAAAAATTATGATTAGTTGAATGAAGTTTGTACGGTTTGTACAAATTAGGTGGTTTTTATTTGAACGCTCCCCTATATATATAGGGTTGGGTTCACGTGAGACCAAAAGTTTTTCGTGAGACCCGTAAGACCAATTTATGTTCATTGATCAACTTTATAAGTTAATGATCTAATGGTCTAAATTGCACGGTGGCAATTTTGTGACTATTGAGAAGTCTCGTGGCGTTTATAAATGTTTAGATTTTCAGATTATAGATCTAATCCAAGGGTTGAGAATTGGTCTTACGGGTCTCACGAAAAACCATTGGTCTCACATGATCCCAAATATATATATATATATATATATATATATATATATATATATATATACTTGTTTTATATCCACGTATTTCCTATTGTAAAATATATTAAATAAATGAATAATATTTCGTGTGTTTCTGGTTTCTATTATTATATCAATAGGTAGGAACACCGTACACGTTGGTATTCATTGTCGGGTCCTAGACCAATCGATTTGCGCCATGTGATACGGGCTTCTTCCTCTAGGAATGTGACACTTTTCATGGTGTAATTGGTAGTGAAGCACCTACTCAGGTGGGACCCTATGGACTAGCATCTTGGCCGACACTTTGAAACTATCATAAGAAGAAAAGGCAAATATAGCTTTGTGAAGTTACAACCCTCCATTTATTTTATTTTGTCATATTGGTCCTCCCATCTTTTTCATTTACATCTTAAGACCCAAAACTCTTTTATACTTAAGGACCGTTTACCAAACACTTACCCGATAAGAGATCTCTATCTTTGGATCAATCTTAAATGAATATCAACACTAATGAGGTGCATCGAAATGCACCGAATCAATTTCCTCGTAAAACGTAATTCATAAATAGACGTAAGATTAAAAATGATCAAATATTCAAATTTTTTCTTTTATTTGTCATTATTCCTTTATTTCTCACACGATCCTTATTTATTTATATATATATATATATATATATATATATGACACGTAGCACTTGATGAATGGCACATCAGGCCACCTTTTGGTCAATTAAGTGGACTTGGTATTATTGGTGTATACGTGAGCACCCTTTAAAATTAATCAATTCCCATTTTGATTAATTTGAATAATTAATAATAACAATGATATCATTAAATATGATCAGTGGCGATGTACTTTATCCGTATTGCGTATAAAATTTTATTTTAATTTTTTAAAGATTTTTTTATTTATTCTACGTAGTATAAATATTTCTCTCTCTCTCACACACACACATATATATATATATATACATATATTAGGTTCGATCTTGTATATTACACGGGATAATTTGAAAAAAATAAATCATTTCAGGAACTTATCTTACAGATATGAATGATCATCGAAAGTACGATGCTACTTTAGACTTGTACTCTTGAAATAATTCTAAGGTATAACTCTTCAGACGTGAATTTAGAAATGAAACTATATCAATAATTAGTTAAAACAAAGTTAACCCTAGAATTAATACAACAAAATTTGGTTTATAGGACACTCTCAATCTCTAAGTGTTCCCATAGACCGCTTTATATGACTTAATTTATAGACCCAAAATATAAAGCGTCATATCTAAAGATGTTGTAATAAGTTTATATGACGCTTTTTGGTGTCTTAACAAGTTTTTAGGACATTTTTAATACAAAGTGTCGCATTAGCAACTTTATAGGACACTTTCTATAAACTCAATTTTTAATAGGACATTTGTTTTTATAGGACAAATTTTCAAATAGTGTCTTATAAAGTTGATAACGGGACGCTTTATATTAAAAGTGTCCTAAAAAACTTATTACGACATAAAAAACGTCATATAAACTTAGTACAACACCGTTAGATAGGACATTTCATTTTTTTGGTCCTATAAACTAAGTCCTACAAAGAGGTCTATTAGGACATTTAGAATTTGGGAGTGTCCTATAAACCCGATTTTGTTGTAGTGAATTAAATTAAATTTTTAGAAATGAAACTACATCAGTAAATTAAATTTAAACTTAGAAGTAAATTTAGAATGACTCTTCAGACTTGTACTCTTGAAATAACTCTAAAGTATAACTCTGAATAATGACTTCAGACTTGTACTCTTAAAATAACTCTAAAGTAAAACTCTTCAGACTTTGTATAGGCAAAGCAGAAGCTCTGCATGCAATATGTAGAGGCTCTGCATGAACTATGTAGAGGCTCTGCATGCACTATGCAAAGGCTCTACATGGTGCTCTACATGGTGCTTTGTCTGGAAAAGAAGGCTTCAGAATTCGGGTGAGCTAACTCTGAAGAATGGCTCCACAGACTTGTAATATGGAGATAACTCTGAAGTAAAACTCTGAAGAATGACTCTGAAGACTTGTACTCTAGAAATAACTCTAAAGTATAAAATCAATCACACTAAATCAGAGTTCAGACTTTAGAATTCGGGTGAGCTAACTCTGAAAAATGACTCTTCAGACTTGTAGAAGACTTCAGAGTTCAGACTTCTAAGTCTGAAAAAGAAGACTTCAGACTTCTTTTTCTAAGTCTAAAAAAAACTTTAGAATTCAGACTTCTAAGTCTGAAAAAAAAGACTTCAGAGTTCAGACTCCAGAGTTCGGGTGAACTAAGTTTGAAAAAACAGACTTCAGAGTTCGGGTGAACTAATTGTTTTAGAATGACTTTTCATACTTGTACTTTTGAAATAACTCTGAAGAATGACTCTTCAGACTTGTACTCTTGAAATAACTCTGAAGAATGACTTCAGACTTGTACTATTGAAATAACTCTGAAGAATGACTTCAGACTTGAATTTAGAAACGAAACTATATTAATAATTAGTTAAAATAAAATTAACCCTAGAATAAAATTTAATTTAGAAATGAAACTACTCTTCAGAGTTATTTCAAAAGTACAAGTATGAAGAATGACTTAAGACTTGTACTATTGAAATAACTCTGAAGAATGACTCTTCATACTTGAATTTAGAAACGAAACTATATTAATAATTAGTTAAAATGAAATTAACCCTAGAATAAAATTTAATTTAGAAATGAAACTATATCAGTAAATTGAATTTAAACTTAGAAGAACGTCTGTGTCAAATCTGAAGACGAAATCTGAAGACCTTGAATTCATAGATATTCAAATACCCAATTGAAAAAGATCTCATGGTAAAGTTTGCAACATACAGAGCAAGACCAACCAGAGCACCTCTGACATCTAGAAGCCAGACCAATGAGAGGGGCTCTGGCTTACAAGACTAAGTCTAAGTCTTAAATACTTATCTTCAAAGTCTAGATAAGTTTATTACAAGACCTGTACTCTTGAAATTATTTTGAAGTAAAACTCTTCAGACTTCAGAGTTCTGTATAGGCAAGCTAGAAGCTTTGCATGCACTATGCAGAGGCCCTGCATGGTGTTCGTTTGGAAAATAAGACTACAGAATTCGGGTGAGCTAACTCTGAAGAATGACTCTTCAGACTTGTACTCTGGAAATAACTCTGAAATAAAACTCTGAAGTATAAAACCAATCCCATTAAATCAGAGTTCAGAATTCTAAGTCTGAAAAAAAAAGAGTTCAGACTTTGGAGTTCGGGTGAGCTAAGTCCGAAAAAGAAAATTTTAGAATTCGGTGAGCTAACTCTGAAGAATGACTTTTCAGACTTCTACTCTTCAGAATTATAGAAGACTTCAGAGTTCAGACTTCTAAGTCTGGAAAAGAAGAATTCAAACTTCTTTTTCAAAGTCTAAAAAAAAGACTTTAGAGTTCAGAATTCTAAGTCTGAAAAAGAGGATTTTAGAGTTCAGACTCCAGAGTTTGGGCGAGCTAACTCTGAATAATGACTTCAGACTTATTCTCTTGAAATAACTCTAAAGTAAAACTTTTCAGTAAATTGAATTTAGAATAAAATGAAGTTAACCCTAGAATAAAGTTGAATTTAGAAATGAAACTTTATCACTAAATTGAATTTAAACTTAGAAGTAAGCATTATTTTTTCGGAAATCAGTTACCACACGAATTAATTAACCAAAGAATAAAATCAATTGCATCCTAAATTAGTAGGATTGATTGAATAAGAGGACATATGTTAATCAAATGAATATAATTGAACTGTTAATGTAAATTGTGTCTAGATCGTTCAAATGAGTCTAATTGAACCATTAATGTAAACTGTGTCTAGATACATGTTTAGGCGGGAAAATAAGATAACTGACTCACCAGAAGATGACACATATCACCCAAGTCACTTATCTATTAGGTGTGCGTGTGTATATATATATATATATATATATATATATATATATATATATATAAGTGGAGGTTCAAACAAGAACACCTCTATTTACGAGAACATCAAAACACCCTTATCACATGTGATAACACGCGTGAGGGGACCCTGTGATGTGCAAACATCGTGTTCTACGACTTAGGCCGTGCCAAAAGTTGTTTGCATCTATGATTTAGCATCACATGTGATGGTCTTTATGGATTATAATATCATATCAACAATACCCTTATCACATATGATAATACTTGCGAGGGAGCTTAATGGTGTAAGGGGGACTTAACCCGCAGCCATGACCGCAATCGAAAATTTCCCGTGTCTCTAGTTTAGTATCACATGCATGTGTATCATATGTGATGAAATAATAGTATCACATGCAATTGTCTATAGTAAAAGAGTGTTCTCGCGTTCTCATAAAATGAAGATGTTCTTGTTTGAACCCTTCCATATATACATATACATATACATATACATATATAGACTTGGGATCATGTGAGACCAAAGATTTTTCGTGAGACCCATAAGACCAATTTTCAACATTTGGATTATATCTACAATCTGAACATTCATAATCACAAAATTGCCACAAGACTTCTCAATAATCACAAAATTGCCACAAGACTTCTCAATAATCACAAAATTGCCACTGTGCAACTTTAGACCATTAGATCATTAGCTTATAAAGTTGATCAATGAACATAAATTGGTCTTACGGGTCTCATGAAAAACCCTTGGTTTCTAAAGTTGCACGATGACAATTTTGTTATTATTGAGAAGTCTCGTGGCGTTTATGAATGTTCAGATTGTCAGATTGTAGATGTAGTCCAATGGTTGAGAATCGGTCTTACGGGTCTCACGAAAAACTCTTGTTCTCACATGATCCCAAGTCAGTTTCTCTCTCTCTCTCTCTTTATATATATATATATATATATATATGATTATATTTGACTCTCTCTCTCTCCCTCTCCATATCGAGATAAATTAAACCTTTGTTTTTTTTAAACTAGAAATTGAAATCTTTTTGCTCCTTGATCGAGTACCTTTGGACCATCAATATGTAACCGATACAAAGCACTTGTTACTATTTTTCAAAATTTAGATCGATGGTCGTTATCAATTAATTTCTTGCAAAATGACAAATGTTAATGCCAAAAGTTTATATATATATATATATATATATATATATAGTGGCGGATCCAAGAAATTAATGGGGTAGGGGCACGTTGGATGAGACTTGGGGGAGGGAAGCATATGGCTATATGAAACTGAAGGGAAACCATGTAAGATGATGGTGAAAATAGAACAATTTAAGCTAATCAATAAAAGTTTTTGGTTTTATGACTGGGGCATTTCCTCTCCGTGTGTGTATATATATATATATATATATATATTTTTTTTTTCTGCAACTTCATTTTCATGGGGACAATAAAAATCTTCCTTTAGTTTGCCTTTACTCCATGCAAGTTCCACCATATGTGTGGTTCATATTTGCTTAACCCTAATCATAATCCAAACCCTTTTCTACAATCCCCTAAACACCCACCATGTTCATTGAAGCTGCTTCCACCAGTACACCACAAGACCACCACCACCACCACCACCACCACCATCAACAACCAGATGATGATGATGATGATGATGATGAAAACATAAGAGAAATCCATGCTCTAACACCACCACCACCGTACCACCCTCGTCGGAGAGAAACTTGGGAAACAGCAAGCCACAGATCATCAGCTCCGTCCGTAGCCACCACCGAAACCGAAAACTTCACCACAATGAGTAGGGAGTTTAACGCCTTGGTACTTGCAGGAAACGACATCGATGTTAACGAACACAACGAGCCAACTAACTTGGAGAGGATTAGAGAGGAAGAAACCAACCCGTTGGCGATCGTTGCCGATAATAACCCCAGGGTGGCGTCTCCGACTAGACGTGATGGTGGCGGCGGCGGTGGTGGTGGTGGGATGAGTTTGATTAGCACCGGTGGTGGTGGTGGTGGTGGAGGTGGCGATAGTGATGGGTCGTCGGTGCAGAGGGTGAAGAAAGAGGAGGTGGAATCGAAGATATCGGCATGGCAGAACGCTAAGATCGCAAAGATCAACAACCGTTTCAAGCGGGACGATGCGATCATTAATGGGTGGGAGAGAGAACAGGTTCAGAAGTCCACTTCATGGATGAAAAAAGTTGAGGTACTTAAAGTGTAATAAAACAAAACTATAGGACTCTTTTTGCAACTTTTGACTTGCAACTGTTTTCTTTACAAAATAAGTAACATTATCTTACTTTTGCATATTTAAATCACAATGCAAACAGACAAAAGAAAGCAATTATTTGATCATATATATTTATATTAATCATATTATTTTTATTTTATTCAATTGTTGTTTTTGTAAAAACATACATTTAAAACAACTATCAAAAATATATTTTGATGTATTTATGTTTGAAATTGCTCATTTGAAACAACTTATGTTTTTTTACAAAAGCACTTATCAACTTATTATAAGTCAGAAGAGTTTAACTTCTTCAAAAACTTCATATTACCGGTTTGACACCGGTAAAAGTTGTTTATCCAAATACTCAAAAATGTTTATTACCGATGCCACACCGGAATAAGTCAATTAGTTGTTTTTATAAGCAATCCCAAACACTCCCTTTGTAAGTTTGCCTTTTGTAAACTGCTCAAAAAATTTGTGCCCCATTTTCCTATCCGTGACTTCATGCGCACTGGCTTTTGTATTTTAGTGTTTTTTTTCCTCTGTGTAAGCAGAACTGTAACTATGCTGAAGTTTCAGTACGTTTTTTTCTTGCCAAACAATAAACAAAATCGCAACCGACACGATTATTTCCAATAAATCGAAGTTTAAATTGGAGTTGGCATCATCAATTGTTGCATAACACTATTTTTATAATATATTCACTCTAAATAAACTCATTTGAAACTTTAATTGATCCAACACTTTAATATCTTCATTTTATATGTCTCATTATTAGTCTTATTTCATTAGATATCGATAATTAAGTTCTATAAGACACTCTTTAACAACATATGAAACCTGAACAAGTCTGATCATTATATATACATGATTAACTACAAACAAGGTAGCTCTTTTGTCAAATTCTATCAAGTGACCATATCATATATGTCATGTAGAGGAAGTTGGAGGAAAAACGAGCAAAAGCAATGGAGAAGATGCAAAATGATGTGGCAAAAGCGAGAAGAAAAGCAGAGGAAAGACGAGCAACAGCAGAGGCCAAAAGGGGAACCAAAGTGGCTAGGGTTTTGGAAATAGCCAGCTTGATGAGAGCTGTTGGTCGAGCTCCTACAAAACGCTCTTTCTTCTAATCTTGTTATATCATAAAGTGGAAAAGTAAAAGAACAACAAAGTGATTTAGGTTTCAATAATATGTGCCTCAGTCTTATGGCATTTCATTGTTTTTTGGATTAAAGGAAACCCATATTAAGGGTTAAGGGAAGTCTAAACACGGTGTACCCTAAAAATACAACCCTGGAGGTACATTGATATCTGTTTGGGTCGATATGCAATAGTGAACACCTAGTATCTGTGTCATAACATCATCAGAAAGTTTGTGATTGAGATAATGTTTTGTACAGTTTTTTTTCCCGTCATAGACTACCTTTTCAAGTAAAAAGTTTACTCGTGTGCTAGAACTTTGCATTAATTATTTGTGTTAGATTTATGAGGGTTGTAGCCAAATAATACATATGATTACTAAGACATTTACTACCAAATGACGATCAATAAGTCAACACATACCACCAAGAGCAAATTTGAGATTTGTTTTTGGTTAATCGTGTGTATCCGAGGCAGCTTGTGTGCTCCTCGACTAATTCCAAAGGGATCTAGAGAATAGATAGGAAAATATCCCGTGACCTTAAAGTGACTCGAAATGATTACCATTAGATAAGAACACAGGTTTAAGGTTGATGGTACATCGAGAGATAAAAGGTTTGATCTGTTTCAAAAGAGTATATATATAACATAAAGATTTAACTACAAGGGGACTCTTTCATTGGTATTATATTTCATATAAAGTTCTCGATGTTACAACAAAAACGACCTGGTTTTATAGTAAGTTGGCCTATTGTAGCTAGAAAGTTGTGTGTTCATTCTGTTTGGAGAGACATGATATTTATATATTTAGTGTAACATCCTGAACTGTTTTGTCCTAGTGATTCAGTAAAATATGGAGTTTGGGGGATAGTGACATTTCTCTCGATAATAGCCATTATAGCATTGAATGTACCAAGAGTATGTGTCCTGGGGATAGTAACAATGATGGTAACATCTATCATGATAGAGGGCACATAACACCAAATGTACCAAGAATGTGTGTCAGGGAGATATTAATATACGTCATGATAGCAGGGAGGGTCACAATAGCACAATATGTACCAAGAGTGTGTGTGTTCGGGTGATAGTGGCAGCGATAGGGACACAGGCACAATCGTGAGCAGAGAGCCTTCAAACCATGGAGCATAAAATGTTGTAGGGCTAGGGTTCATCAATTTTCTTCATCTCCTTCATTTCTCTCTCAATCAAGGGAATTTTGTCAAGATTTTTGGGCAATTTTGGAAGTGCGTTGAGCCATTCAAGGCTTGGTCTAGAGTGGGGTTTAACGATTCAAGATTTCTTTGGGTTTGCTTGGTTTCCAGGTTTAAGTTCAACCTAGCTTTATGGGTTCATTCTACCCTTTTAAAACAATATACATATCAAATGTTTATATTTAATCACTGGATTCATAGGCATATGATTCGGTTTTATTGGTCATGGAAATATAATGTTATTCCAGCTTTTTGACTAGAAAAGAAACACCGAGCCATCAGGAAATTGTGGTAAGGAATCTTATGGGATCGAACATTGGCTATTGACTGTTAGGGTGTAATTCTCTAGTAACGAGCATATGCTAGGATCATTAGGGATCTCAGGTCGTAGACCGTGAAAGGTTGAAATAGATAATCATTGATCCGTACTTGGGCTCGTGAACATAGATATGCGGTTTACTTTTGTGTTCCGTCACTATTATTGGAAACGGCTCTCCCCTGTCATTGCAAGATGTGTTGGTTTTTTTTGCCTTTTATGACAACTGGTTATTTTATATTATTACATCATGCAAAGATTATGCTTTCAAGCTTATTATTTTATAACCTTTTTTTTGAACTGTTTGAACTCACTAAACTTTAAGCCTAACATTTTTTTTTTCTTATCAACATGTATGTCAGGTTCTTTTACTGGTAGGACTAAGGACGCTTGAGTGAAGTGTTTGGTGCCGATACACTCATAGGTTGGGTTAGCATTTTTTTAGTGTCTTTCGAGTCTTTAGGCATAATGATTTTTGGGGTTCAGTAGCACCCGACTATAATCTAATTCTAGTGTGAGTTATATTAGGAGGTTTTAATTATTTAATCCCATACTTACAAATTTATAATTCATCAGCCTTCCTTCCTTTTTGAAGGTAAAGCTCGTATTTTGAATTATATACAAAGTTTTTGGGTTTAAATTTTCTCCGATTTTTGAGGCTATTAAAAGTTGGTATTAGAGCCTTACTTTAAGAGAACTAGGAATGAATTTAGCTAACACCCGTAAAATTTTATAACTTTCGTATTTTTAGAAGTTACGTTAAATTAGAGGTTTAAGTTTGAAAAATACTGTTCAAATGTTTGTTGGTAGCCTCGGGTTAGATTGGTTTAAGTCGGGAAGTGACTTGGGATAAATCAGGTGGTTCTTAGGGTTAATAGCTTGGAAAACTCGAGCAAAAGGTGAACCGAACAACTTTCCTCTTAAGCTACTGGAAGGCGGGTCGGATTGTGAAGATGAACATGAAATCCAACAGAAGGAGAGCATCCTTTTTAGGAAGCTTAAGCGCTGTAGGGTTGGTCGCCTGGATGCTGGGTGGACCGCGTTGTTGGGATACGAGAGCCATACACTCTACGGAAAATAACTATATCCCTCCAAAGATCCATACAAAACGGGTAGGATAGGTGTTTCAAAATTTTACCAGTTACAAACAACCCTTTGATGTCGTATCTGAATCTAGCAACGAACTTGGCCCATTGCCTACACGGTATCCACGCGATTGTACTGAATCCTCTTGTCGTCCTACGACAAGAGAGGAGGTCCTCTTCCTTCCCAAAATTTTAGAATCTAAACTTAAAAGTTGTTTGATAACCTTCTCAAGCTGCATGATTTGACTCATAAGTTTGGTTCGTTTATCAAAACTAGAATTTAAATCCTTTTCGAGATCCTGGATCTTTTGCAAATTGGAGTCATGCAATTTGTCTTTGCAAACCAAACGCATGGTCAATTCAGAAATTTCATCATTAAGCTCTTTGACTTTAATTGAAAATTCATTTTGAGCTTGTTCCATGGATCTCTTTTCAAATTTCAATTCCGCCTCAAGCTCTGATACCAATTGTGATCCCAGATTTCAAGTCTAATTAGCAATTCATACAAGAATCAAGAACAAGATTGAAGAAATAAGTCTGTCGGCTTGCTTCAATTGATAAACTGTATGAACAGTGTTCTTAATTACAATCTTTCAAGGTGCTATGTATGAATGAATTCAACAACTGATTTTTTTTAACCAACCTAACTACCAACAATCATTGCTATTTATAGCAGCTTCCAAGACAAGAAAAGGTCAACTACCTTTACAAACTATAAAAGAAAACAACAACACTTGACTATTACAAAGCATTTTAAAACTGTTTAAGCTCCAAAACTTGAATACAACATTTTTGTTCCAACAATAAACGATATAAATGAAAAATTAAATTTCAAAACAAGAGGGACGGAAATCGTAGTTTACTCGAATATAAGACAAATTAAGTCATATGTATTTATAATATTTAATAATATGATTAGATACACAAATATTCAATATTAGGCTCATTTCGATTGTAATGGTATAATTTATAAAAAAACGTATTTTTTAAATGTATTTTAGCTCATATACGATTATTTATGTTAATATGGTAAAGTTGTAAAATGGAAAATGGAAAAATAAGAGATATAAAATAAATTAAGTAACTAATTATAAGGGTACAACGTGTTATTTAAAAATTTAAAATGATTTGATTTTGAATATCCCAACGTGGTTGGTTATGGAGAAGATATATAGCTAAGGGTATAAAATGAAAAATGAAAAAATAAGTTATAAAATAAATTAAATAAATAACTACAAGGTATAAAATATAAGTTTAAAAACAATTCATTACGTGTTTATAATATTTAATAATACCATTAAATCAAAAATATTCGATATTGGTCTCATTTTAAAAATATTGACGAGACGACTACAATGATAGAATTTGTAAAATAAATAAACGTATTTTTTTATGTTAATATGATAAATATTTAAAATGAAAAATGAAAAAGTAAGAGATATAAAGTAAATTACATAAGTACATGGGCATAAAGTGTAATTTAAAAAGTAAATTACATAAGTAATTCATCCTGTAAGGTAACGTGGCTTGGTCTTCACTTACCCGAGTAAACGTTTGGTAAACGCAACCCTTAAATGTTGTTTTTTCTTCTAAAGAAAGCGAATTTGGTAAATTATTGCCAAACAATACTCAGAAAAGCGAAACAATAAGACAAGTCTCAGTTTATGAGAGAATAATTATTCCAAAAAACTACACTCTGATGGTCCATCTTACACAACCAGGACCATTTTACCTAACCATTTTCAATTATTGCTGTACTCATCGGCTAGTATATGGACGAACCAGATACTGTTGATCCCTTCAACCTTTTTATAGTTGGACCAGTAACCGGTTTGTACAAAACGGTGTCACAATCAATCTTGGGCTAGTCTTTCGCTAACAAACAAACCAAACGAAACCAAAAGAGCTCAGTATATCCGACCTAAACGTGGGGTTTGAAGGGGTATTGTTTAAGCAGACCTGACCTCTACCCAAAAAAATCTGAATGGTTGTATTTGTGAAGACACCTGTCTCTGAAAAGTGTGTGCAAGAAAGGAAGATTGCCCAAAAAGTTTCACTACAAAATAAAAGTGTCTGTGCACATAGCAGTCATTATGGAGTCTGTGAGTCTTGGTCGAGTCCTTCAAGTAGGACCAGACCATTTAGCACCCCCACTGCCGGATTGGTTGGTAGGCATTATTAGTCTTCTGGTGCATCCATTTACATCTAATTTAGTGGACATTCAAGTGGGGTCCCTGAATGTGGCCAGCCCCCCAACTATTGCAATCAGCCAACCACCACTCAGGAACATGCCACAAGACCTAACCTTTTAGAACCAGACACCAACATGTAAAGAAAACAAGATCTTGGACACCCACAAGAAATGGCCAATCACCAATCCTTCCTAAAATAAAAAATATGTTTCCATGCTTAAAGAATCGATCAGTTTCAAACACAGGAAATGGGTTTGAGATCCAGTTCTGGTCAACTAAATTGTGCTACTTCCACATCATCAAAATGACTTCAAATCTCAAAGAATAATGGGCGGAATGCCGGCAATCGTGGCAAAAAACTACTAGCATTTGCACCTCTTGGAGTTAATTCTTTCGGGTCTTGGTTGAAATAATAAATTGAAAAGGAATTCATGATTGGAGTTAGTACCGAAGAAATCAGCCTAGAAGTTGCCATTGGTGACATCGTCTGAATGCAGACCAGTAGTGGACATGTACAGTCCTCTAGTCCGGCCAGGTGCCCCGCCTTTCATAGAAGATAAGTCGAGCACGATCCTGCATGATCAAATATCTTCATAATGAATAAAGGTATTCATTTCAACTCATGAGAAGAGTTTGCATTGGTTTTGTACTCACTTCTGATCAGCATTCCCACTGTTTATCAGGATCTTTTCATCGATTATGGATAATGACAACTCCATTGGCAAAGCAAACACCTCTGTTGCTGGATTCGACAATTCAAAAGCTCCATGAAAAACCTTCCCTATTGGTGGTTAAGAGATTACTCACTCTGTCCCAAAATATCTGTCCATGTTTCTATCTTAGTTTGTCCAGAAAAAAGTGTCCACTTTCAAAAGCGTTATTTTCCAATTTTACCCTTAATTGTGATATGGACAAATCAGAAATTCATTATTCACCCGATCAATAAGGGTAAACTGTCATTTAGTTAATTATTAAATGTAATAATTGCACAATTTTAAAACATTGTGGACATCCATTTTGGGACGGAGGGAGTAAATTGCAAGTTCTGGCAAACATAAAAAAACTTACGTGTTTTTGGGGTAACATCCATACTTCCATTCAGACCCAGAATTTTCTATTAAGAAATAAATCAGATTCAATACGCATTCAGAGCTTAAGAAAGAAAAAACAATAAGCAAGAAAGTAATTTCACCTTAAGTCGTTCATAACAAGCCTCAAGATCATTATTCACCAAAATATGATCGAAAAGGCCAGGAGAGTTTCCTTGTTCAAGCTCAGCCTTGGCATTTCTGAGTCGTTTTTGGATCTGTTCTTCGGTCTCTGTCCCTCTGTTTGAGCAAATCGAAGAATTGATTAATAGATAACAAAAAAACTAAGACAAAGATTTTTTCGATAATGGTTTTAAGATTATAGCTCAAACCTTGCACGAAGGCGCTTCTCAAGCTCCTCAAACGAGGGTGGGCAAATAAAGATGAAAATAGCCTCAAGTGAACTAGCCCTCACGGACCTTGCCCCTTGAACATCAATGTCAAGGATGCATCTCTACAGAAAATCATACTCACTATCTTAAGTAAAACATGAGGACACCTCATTTTAATACACGTTTATCAAGAATTTTTCGTATAGTCATGCAAACAATATCACAAGTCCATGTAAACATCGACTAAAAACATGATTCTTGAAACACACTGCATTCTTATCTTTATTTTGAATCAAGTGTCATCATTTTCCACATGTCAGGGTCTTCATGGAAACAACCACTTTACAATATATAGTCATTCCGTGAAATAACTCGAATTTCAAWTCATTCACTTGCTTTAACTACTGAGATGTTTTGTGGGGTAGAGGGCAGGTATGCGTATATTCCAACCATTCCAAACCTTATCTCTAGATGGGATACACTGGGCTCGTTTTGTTTCATTTGGCTTATTTTCACATGTTCACATACTAAGAAGTGCAACCCGGGTGAACTGAACATATTTCTTGAACTTAGGTTGCATCTTTTACCTATCTTGAATTTTTTACATGGTCAAGCAAACAAAACCGTAAAAAAACCACATAAATAGTGACCCGAACATGATTCTTAACCACAAGGGTGGTATTGTGGGGGATAAGAACAAGTGGATGATAAAATCAACCCGGGTTCAAATCCTGCCATATACATATACGCTTGTGGCCACTGGGAGTTTTACCTTAAGCCTACACTCGCAATTTTCCATGGGATTAGTCTGGGATCACCCTGTTCCAAAAGAACATGGTTCTTGAACTCATGTTTCATTACTTCCGCTATTTGAATTAAGTTTGGTCATTTTTCACTCGGTGGAATACTCGACCGTGGAACCCTGGTGGAACAAGGCTCAAGGGGGGAGGAAACTCTAGTTCCATGGCTTGACCAAGTGATAATTAGTTGGAAAAGGAAAAACATGCCGAGGCTGTCACAAAATTTATATGTAAATTGAATAATTTTGAATTCTAGAGATTCAAATATTTAGATATAGAATCTTTCTACAAATTAAGCACTAGCATGTGCTCAAAAGATATCTTTTTGGGATTGAGGTTGTGATAATCTTTGTATATGCATATAGAACAAAGAAGACGAGTCTAATGAGTCAAGATATATATACCTTTCCAGCATCGGCAACTATCTCAACAGCTTCTATGCTAGTCCCATAAAGATTTCCATGTACTGCAGCAAACTCGAGAAACTTCCCAGCTTTAATCTCCTCCTCCATAACACTTCGGTCGGTGAAATGATAATGAACACCATTCTCCTCCTTCTCCCTTGGTGCACGTGTTGTGTGGCTAACCGAAAACCCAAACATTGATGGGAACTCTTTCATTAGCATGTTAATTAGTGTACCCTTCCCCACACCAGATGGCCCACTAATTACTATAGGCCTTTCGGCATCACCAATAACACCCTTACTCCAAGCAACTACCTCAGTTCCAAATTTCTTCTTCTGATCTCGAACAAATTGTGTGTCCACCTAGATATACTTAATGATGAGCTTATATCATGAAATCATCACATAAACCAAACCAAACCAAACCGAACCGAACCGAACCAAACCAAACCGAACCAAACCAAACTAGCCCGTTATATCCCACCTAGAGGTGGGCATAGTAGAGCATTTCTTTCCATGAAGACCCCTGGCTTGAGAAAAGTGTGTTTGAAAGAAAGAATAGCATAAAACGTAATTCCCCAAAAGTTTTAAATACCCACCTCAAGAAACCAAGCAGAGTCATTAGATTTGGAATTGCTTTTAATAATCAAGATTCTATCTTTATTCAAAAGCATGGTAGAATGGCTCTTGAATGCCTTCGGTTTTGTTCCTAGAACAGTTGGAATCACCCTTCACAAGAGAAAAACAGATTTATGTAAATCAAAATTGTTGAAAACAAACAACTTAAGCACAATCAAAGCAAGAAACACCATTGGTAAGCTTCATACTCACCATTCACCAATGGATTTATCAAATATACGAACTCCAGTTGATGTTGGGTCATCAATCCCACCAATGACATACTAGTTAAAACAAAAACAAAACAAAAAATTGTAATTCAAATTGAGGACTAATATTAATCTATTGGGATATCAAATAAAATAGAAATCGGTTCAACATCATACTGTCTTATTCCCAACAACAGTGGCTGTTTCAAAGTCCTTCAGCTTCAAATGAAACCCATTAGAAAACCTGGCCTGCAGATCATCAGCAAAAAAAGCTGGAGCTTCCCCCTAATCAACAATAGAAGTTCAAAAACTCAAATCAAATTTCCATTGCATTTTATCAAAAGATTTAAGAATCTAAAGCTTGGCTCACCATTAGAACAAGCTCTCCAACAGATTTAAGACCTGAGGAAAAACAATCATCAGGAATATATATTAAAACAAAGAAATCATATGTCAGTTTCAAGATCTTGCAAAAAACAAACAAAAAAGGACAAATTTCAAGGGGACGGAAATTGGAAAGAGACTAAATCCATATAACAGACAAAAACAATCGCTCAAACTAGAAACTGAACAATAAAAAATAATAATATCAACGATTAAACCCCAAAAATTATTAACCCTAACAATGCAATTAACCAACAAAAGTAGAAAGAAAAAAACTAATAATAATCATAAACAACCATTGAGCAGGTAAATTCACGAGAATGCAGAAATAAGCGAAGAACGATTCCTCTGTTTTCGTTTAAAATACGAAAAGATCAAACAATAAAACGATCGAAAAACACCCACCAAAATCCATATGAAATCGGAGGATCAAATCTATATCTGAAGAAAGAATCACCTGACAGAGAGCGATACTTGTATAAACAGGAATGATAATAATCTAGAAGAAGAATGGATCGAATGAGCCAGCAGAGTTTGAAAATGCGAGATCCCTTGTGGAATTGAGAGAAATTAACGCGGAAGTAACTTGGGATTGGAAAAGTCAAGATGGCGGAGGAAAGGGATGATGATGAAAGAAGAAACGTAGACCGCCATATTTATGGAGATAGGAAGGAGGTGGATCTTTGGTCGTTGCAGTCCTCCCTCTTTATTCTTTTCCAATTTCCTTTTTGTTTTCACTCTTTCTTGAATTTAACTCCGATTTTTGTCCCTATGCTTCGTCAATGTTTTCACATCAACTCCAATCACTAAAAATTTAGGGTTTCTGTGAAAAGCTTATGATCATATGGTAGATTAGAGAAACATATTAAATCGTAAAGCTATTTGTGTCCGTATTTTTATGGGTTGTCTTCAATGGTAAATAGCTATGCATTAATGGGGTGTTTGGAATTATTTATAAAAATAAATTATTGACCTATTTCGGTGTGAAACTGATAATAAGCATTTTTGAGTGTTTAGATAAACAACTTATACCGGTGTCAAACTGGTAATAATAAGTTTTTAAAGAAGTTAAACTCTTCTGACTTATAATAAGTTGATAATTGCTTTTGTACAAAAATATAAGTTGTTTCAAATAAACAATCTCAAACACCCTGTAAATTACCATAAATAAGTGTCGATATTTTTATGTGTTTATCATAGGGAAGGTATAGTAATGCTATGAATGACCCAGTAACGAATACTGGTAATAATATCGGCAAAAGAACGTCCTAAAATAAGTTTATAGTTTCAAAACAGTAACTAAATTCTTAAATTTAGCCTTAATTAATCTGACATTCTGTCATTTTTGAGCTTCAAGTTAGCACCTTATTATAGATCTTATATTTAGAATTATATTTTACTAGGATCTAGGCATGATGATTAGAGTTCATCTGGTTTAGTTCCCAAGTTTCGTTCGGAAGATCACGCCTCAGCGGGTAACTGATGAAGTTAACTTGTGTAATGTCAAATATTTTAGAAATGCTCCAAAATAAAATAAAGTTGATATTATAAATTTTTAAATTAAAATACAAAAGTTCCATTTGAATGTCCAAATAATTTATCAAAAGGTGGAGTTTTGGGATTAATAGTGTCATTTTATTTATGTTTGGGTAAATTATATAGGGGTTTATCCTTATTCAAGAAAAATAAAAGTTTTATTTGGGTTTGGGCCTTTAGAGGTCAGCCCATTTCCTCTTTAAAATCCTCATTTAAATACCCCACACCCTTTGAAAACTCTCATTTCCAATTATCATCAGCTTAAAACTTTTTTCATCTCTCTAATATCTCTCTAAAATCAACCACCTTCCAGCCGATTCCATCCCCAAGCAAGACTTTAAGAATTCTGTCAATCTTGAAGAATATTCAAGATTTTAAGAACAAGGTATGATACTAGTTATCTTACTTTTATAGAATAACAAAAGTTTTCGTCTTCCTACTCCTACTTCTTGATCTTGTAGTTAAATTTTTGGAGAGTTAAAAAGGGGAGATTATACATCAAAGACATGAAAATGTCTTCAAAAAAAGATGATAATCTATGATCCATGTTCTTTGAACTCTAAAGTAGGAGAAACCCATTGCATACGAAGTTTGAGCATGTAAAGTTATGTTTTGAAGTATGGCAGAATCTTGCATGCATCTTAAATCGGTCATATCATCTTCAAAATTTAATGGAATCGAGAAATATTTTCTAGAGACTGATCGTATTTGTTAGTTTGAAAATAGAATTAAGATCCTTGAAAAATGATGAGTTTAGACCCCAAATGGCTGTCACTCGAAGAGTGTGTAATCTATTTTGGGGGTTGTGTAACTCAAGGTTATAGGGTAATTATGAGTGACTTAAACCCACTCAAATTTCTTGATATTTGGAAAAAGCCGGTTGATCTCATTATTTTGGATTATGGACATAAAATAACTTTTGGAAGGTTCCTATTTATAGTATTTTGTGAAACCCAAAAATACTTGGAACATAATTTAATCTGTCCAAAAATCAGCTTTTGAGTAAAGGATTTTGATTTCTTTTAATATATATAATTTTTGGACTATTTTAGAATACTTAATAAAATATCAACTTTAATTCATAAAAATCCGATGACATTACATAGGATGCAATTTGACTTTATCTTTGTCAAAAACTCATAGGTGATCTAAATATTGGTCTGTTTAGGAAGGTAGGGCGGACGTTGAGAGCTTCAGACATCATCTTCTTGGATATTCATCATCAAACCAGTGAGTTTTCACGGCCCCACTTTTTAATGCTTTACGTTTTTTAATCGGGGAAAAAGCATGAGATTAAGCAAACTATACCGTTTATTTATTTAACCATTGGACTAAAGAACTGTTTAGTCAAGCTTTGTTTGAAACCATCGGACTAAAGAACTGTTTAGTCAAGTTTATTATGTCATGAAATATTGATTGTTTTTGCACTATGAAATAAATGCTAAATTGATGTGCTTGGGAGTATGTTTCCAAATAAAGTCCCCGTCCGTAAACGCTACTTGTTAACTCGGGCACGTCCTCGGGCTGTGGTATTGTGGATAGCCGCTATTGTGTTGACAGTACCACCCAGAAAGGGGTGCACATTACCTATGTTTTCTTAGTCTAATCATATGGAATTTGGACCACCGCTGAATTAGTACTACTGCGAACTGTGGGACCTAAATAAGTGTGCGGGCTACTTATGGTTGTTCGTAAAATAATGGGGCATATTGGTCAGGTAAGGCTCAGTAGCGTCTCAAGTTAAGCATCGTGGTAGATTTACATTTATTAAGTGCAAAAGTTTACGTATAAGTTTGCAAATAAATGATTTATGCATTGTAATATTTTGTGCATGTGAAAACCCGTGAGTTCACCAACTCTTTGTAGTTGACGTTGTTTTATGTTCCATGCTTTTCAGATAATAAGTAAGAAATGAACTGTTTTGGGAGCATACTTGTGGCAAGACCGATTAAGTTCGCATTTGAAGTTTTTGTATAAGAAATATACTATCCCATTTTGGTTATTGGTGTTAAACTCGATTTATTTTGTAAAATTTGAAAAGTGTTATTTATTAACCGTTGTTGTGACACGCTTACCTGTTACATCTCGTGTTTCCGCTTTAGTGGGGTGTGACAATTAATGTATAAATATTTAAGAGTTTTGAAGTGAAATAAATTACTTAAAAGGTAAAATTGTTATTTGGTTAACTAAAAAGTATAATAATTATGTGTGTGTCTAAAATTGTATTTGTCATTTATATTGCAACATTTAGGTGGCGTTTGGTTCGCAGAATGTTTTTGGATGAAATGAGATATGTTAAAGGAATTTGACTTTGAATGAATTTGAATGAAATGTTGTCAAGTTTGACCACTTGTTTGGTTGGCAGACATTGGAATGGAATATGTTAAGGAATTGGGATGTCTGTTTGGTTCACAGAATGTAGCTTTAGAATTGGAATAAAATATTGGTAAATCATCAAAATGCCCTTTTTTGAAAATTTCTATTTTTTAAAAACAAAAAAAAATTAATAAAATAATTATTTAATATGTAAAACAATATAAATATACAACTCAAATGTAACCATAAGCCAAACGATGTTACTAAATTGACGGTAGTTGGCGGTGGTTGTTCAAATAGGTGGTGGTCACCCAACGGTGATTTAGATCGATAGTAGTCGTCCGTGGTTGGTAGTGATATAGATCGATGGTGGTCCATTGTGGTTCAGGTGACGATCGGTGGTTGCTTAGATCGGTGATGGTCAATGGTGGTTTAGATTGGTAGTGCTTCAGATCAATAGTAGTTGGCAGTGGTTTAGATCGATGGTGGTCCGTGATGGTTTAGATAGCGATGGTCGACAGTGGTTCAGATCAGTGGTGGTTCAAATGGCGGTTATCGGCAGTGGTTCAGATTGACGGTGAGTCAGATCAATGGTGTCGATGGTGGTTTAGATCGGTAGTGGTCAGCGGTAGTTTAGATCAACAGGGTGGTTTAGATTGGTAGTGGTCGGCGGTGGTTTAGATCGGTGGTAGTCAGTGGTGGCGGTCGGCGGTGGTTCAGATCGGTTGTAGTTGGCGGTGGTTCAGATCGGCGGTGGTTTAGATCGGTGGTAGTTGGTGGTGGTTCAGACCAGTGGTAGTCGGTGGTGGTGATCGGGGGTGGTTCAGATCAATAGTGGTCGGAGGTGGTCGACGATGGTCATATTGAGTTTTATGAGATTAAAGTATATTAGTTTAAAGGCATTTTTGGTATAATGAAGATAGAGATTCCATTCCATCAAAATACCATGTAGTTGCTAAGGAATGTTAAATTCCTTTATTTGTGAAATTTGTAGGATTTTGAAGATTCCTTTCGTGAAAAAGAATGAACCAAACGAGTAAATGGAATTTGGTCAATAGAATTCAACATTCCAATTCCATCAGATTCCTCCAGGATCTGTGAACCAAACGCCAAGAATGAAGAGAGGTTTTTTCAATAACCACGACATTCAAATTTTTATTTGCAGAAATAAGTGTTTTACTTTCTAAAGTGAATGAATTTTTTTATTTATTAAAACAATTAATCTACGGTTTAAAATCCTCTTTCGACGGGATTCATGCAGCATAAAAAAACTTCATATTTTTTATTAAACTTTGTAAATGTTTCAACGTTATTGAGACCACTTACACTGTTGCTTTATATGTTGTAGTCCAATCCTGTCTTGGATGGCCATATGGTGAAGGACAAACGTCCAATACCTATCGTTGATGCTAGATGAGTTTTTGTAAAGATTCATCTGTATTGTTAGGAGATAGAATTAGGTTAATTATTTTACACGGTTAATGGCATAATACATCCGACATTTCGAAAAGCAGCTCTTGAGAGATGTTTAATAGAGACCGACGATAATTTATCGCATTGTCTTGCCGATGCTTCCTTATTTTAGTTTCCCAATGCTCTTAGACGATTATTCGTGACGATCTTGATTTATTGTGAGCCGGGAGATGTTCGCAAGTTATGGGATGAACATTATGATTCACTATCAGAAAATTATAGACGAGACTACGAAAATGTTGAGGGAGTCCGAATTATGGTTCTTACAGACATCTCAGTCTTTTTACAATCTATGGGTATAAACCTCGATGATTTTGATCTTCCAAGTTTAAATGCAGCCGTCAATTTAGAATT